TCAGAACTTAGATAACCTAAACCCTACACCCTACTTAGGGGCTGAGTAGGTAACCTTTAACCTTTTGGGGCTTCTATAATCCTACTATAATTCAAAAGGTTAACCTTTTTTGGGCTAGGGTACCCAGCCCCTAAGTTACCCTAAACCCCTAAACCCTAAACCCTAAGTTATGTGTTCCTTAACCTTTTTTGGGCTAGGGTACTCAGCCCCCTAAGCCTAAATTGTGGATCCTCGACATGTTTGGGATATTCCTTAAAGCCAAGGAGCTGCAGGAGACCAGGGGGGTGCATGTGGTTCCCTACAAGGCCTCTAGGTTTCCTAGTCGTACCCTTTTGTCACTTTTTGTTTTGGGGTTCCCTTTAAAAAAAGGTTATCCTTTAGAAGGGTGGCCTTATTATTAAGGATCCTTTTATCACTTTTTGTTTTGGGGTTCCCTTTAAATAAAGGGGAACCTTTAGAAGGGTAGGCTTATTATTAAGGGGCTGCTGGGGAACCTAGGCCTGCATCGCCGACATTGCTAAAGCATTGAAAGCCTCGGCGTTTGCACAGCGAGAATCCTTCGACAACGTCCAGGTCCCTTAGTCATCCAATACCCAACCTTTGTAATTTTTTGGTGTTCTTAGACTTTAGCTTTAAGCAAATTGGGTTCTTAATACTTTCGTAAGCCGATTGTGTCTGTGGCTTATACTGGAGAAGTAAGGTCCTCTACATCCTATCCAAGGGCCTGGTGGCTCTTGATAGCCGGGTTGGCTACAATGGGGCAGTTTGGGGAGAAGATTTCGTGCTCTCGGATACCAGCCTTATTCGCCCAGTCGCAGGCTATGCCCTTACCTACATCGAGGTGTTGTACCTGACCAGGGATGCCCTCATGGAGGTGATCGAAAGGCGGAAGGCAAGCTGCCCACAGCTCGGCCGCATCGTTCGACAGCGCTTTGGATTGCTACGAAGGTTTCTCTTGTCTCTGAGAGATATTATGGTAAAAAACACGAGATTAAGTTCTATTACCAGAATCGCCCCCATTTCTCAACGAATTCGACAGGTACTGTGTCAGGGTCGCCGTCTTCCGCGGAATCCTGCGAGAGGCCAAGCGAAGATCGAAGGGTTCAGCTGGCCAATCACTGACCCCCGTTGGTCGCAGTGGCTCTCCCCAGCAGCCCTCGCAAGCGTTGATGGACCAGTCTCGACCATGTACTGCCCCCACGCGACGTCCCCAAACCCCTGGTTTCGGTTCCCAGCCCGACCCTATGAGCCAACAGCATGTAGTTATGCCTGGCCCACCTCCAGCCCCACGGCCGCCACAGCCGAAGTTTCCCATGTGGGAGGAAGTTTGAGGCTTGGGGCTTCGCTTCCGTCGGACCGAGTTCCGGGGCAGCATATGTTGATGGGCCAGGATAGCCGTTTTCCCGACATATTTTGAACTTGACGGTGTCAATCCTGCCAGTGCTACTGCTTGTCTGCGATGTCAGTGTGAACAAGCAGTACCTGTGCAGATAGCGCAAGGCCGTCGATCAGATTTTGGCACGCCTACCTCTTTAATTCAAGCTGCAATGAAATAGTCGGACCGAGTGAGGTCTGAGTTTGGACAAGGCTCCAGCCCGGCTCGTTGGTTCAGAAGTGACAGACTCCGGACATCATGCAATCAGACCCTTGCATTTTGGAGCACTTTAGAGCATGGCCTGCAGAGAACAACAAGCATGGGTGGGCTTTCCATAAGCAGTGGGTCGCCCAGAACACCCTTCCAGGATCCTTCTGTTGCAGCATGCCTGAGGCGCTGAAAAACAGGCAGTTGGGTGTTGGACGTCCTCGTGAAAGCATTCGCCTGCTGGGCGTTTCATTAGCCTGGGGCCCCCGACCCCTATAGGTCCCTTATCTTACCACTATGATGGACTTGGGGTCCAGTATAGGGGCCCCATTTTTTCTGAAACTCCCGTTTCGTGTCTGGTAAAAATGAACCCCTTGGTACAATAGGCTCTCTCAGCAAGCACGAGGTAAACTTCCCACAAAATGATCCTTAACAGGATGCAGGCGCCGCACGATAAGTGGTCTCAGTCTAGCTCCTTTCGGCAGGCAGAGCCCCGAAACTGTTCGAAATCTCTTTCGATTTTGTGTTAGGCATTTTGTAGCACCGAGGCCAAGCACTTCCCAGCCAAGCTTCGGGTTTATTCCGTCTGTGACACACTCCTGCGGCGTGCATGTTGGCACCGCCCGGCCGCCCGATCTCTGTCGCGTCTTTGACGGGTCGGGATGTGGGTTCTTGCATGTCAGATCTGCTCCCATGCCAAATTCTTTTAGACAAGCGCCCCCGGGATGCAGTGGAAGATCGTTAGCTCTCGTTTTGATTTATACATCCCCCGATTTCGGAAGCGCCGCGGACGGCTGGCGCTGACCCGCGGGGCGCTGAAAAGGCATGGGACAACTGCTCCGAGCTCCGGTGGCTTTGAAGCTACTGATCTGGGGGCCTGGGGGTTTCCGAATATAGGGGACCCTAATATAGTACCCTAAATAATAGGATCCTTATTATAAGGACCCCAAAATAAGGTACCCCTAATTTTCGGAAACTCCCATCTGTCGGCCGCAAGACTGATCAAGCTCAATCTTGAAAATGGAGTGCATCGACATCAGACCTGAACCCTAAACCATAGTCGCAAACCGGGAATATTGAGTACATATGGTATGTGTAGTATATACTTATGCGTATAGTATCTGTTGGTTATACATATATATTTATACATATATACATATATATATATATATATCAATAAAGAGATAAATAAATAGATAAATAAATAAACACACACACACACATATATATATATATATGTATGCATGTATATATATATATATATATATGTATATGTGTATGGTATGACCTTCGGTTATGCTTTGGGCCCTCCAGGAGCGGACGGGTGAGTCCCGACATGGCATTATGAGTCGAGGGCTTAAAGCACCCACTGCGATATACTTTTCTATGCTGATCTGTAGGATAGTGTTTTGTACAACTAGTGTACCCATAGGCCCCATAGTAGTTCCCTTTTGGGGTTTACCTTATAGGCTTATAGGATTCTATATATGAGCCCCAAAAAGGAACTACTTTAGGCCCTATGGGTAACTACTATAATATGCTATATGGCAGCTTCGGGGCGACCCAAAGGCCGAATCATCATAAATTCCAGTCGAAGCTTACGAACCTGAAGGTCGATAATGTGAGGGATGGCGAGAAAGCCAGGAAAAACAAAAACGGCCAGTCTCCTGCAAAAGCCTTTGAGGATAGGACATGCAGTGACGATAAGGGTCAAGCGAATGGGTATAGGGGCCTTCACATTCCCTCAAATCAAACATAACTTCTGAAAGGCCTTCCGCGTGCCCTGTCGTTGGATGTAACCGCCAGTGACGGTCACTTTCGTGCCATGGCTCTGACATGCATTGGGGAAGTGTGAAAGCAGGCTTCTTGCGGTTTGTGCACCTACTCCCCCAAACCCAGCAAACCCCAGAACCCGAGGCACTGCTGCCGTGGGCTGTGGGGAACAATTTTCAAATTCCTGAAGACCCCGCGTGCCCTGAAACCTCTACGTTCATGCTTCGATGTCTTATCTTCAACATATCTCCCCGCATTAAGGCCATGACATACCCTAAACCCAATACCAGCCACACAGCCTTTCCGGTGCTTCGTGTCTCTATAGCCCTGCCCCGAAAGGGAAAGCCCCCAAACCCTAAACGGCCCTAAACCCTCAGGTGAGGAAGCACGGCTGCTTCGCCGAGAAGCTCTCGCTGGGTCCAGCGCACGTCAAGCCTGGGAGGACCGGGGCTCTTAGGGGGCTTTTTGGGTTTAGGGTT